GTTAATTTTATCATGAAACCTGTATCACCTTTCATGATCTCAAATAGAATTTACTTCTATCATGGGTTACTTTTGTATTAATGTCTCAAAATTACCCTCGCTCTGATACCACTTGTTGCACCAGAAGCAATAATCATAATAATACAGAAGCAATAGACAACAATCAATAATCAAAGACGTAGGAAAAATAAAGCACACCAAGATTTACGTGGAAAACCCTCCAGTGTAGAGGAAAAAAACCCCAGACCACCAAAAAAATCTTCACTATCAAATAATAGGTATACAAAGTTCTTCTCTAGCTAAAACTAGAGCTAATCAACAACTAGAGAAACAATTGGAGAAATCTTACCAAATAAGTAACTCAACAAATACACCCTGGATTTGTTCCTAGAGAGCTTCAAACCCGATCTTTACCGTTCAGAATGTAGAACTCTGAATCATAAACCTCCTGACAAGGTTCCAACTCAATCGGATCACGGATCGACTTCCGTTCAACTAACTCTCCCTTCTCTTATTTTTTTTTGCTTTTCCTGGCTTTTGTTCTTTCTCTACTTGGTTTTCGACACACTCATAAAACAACCCCACATCTTTTTTATTAAGTAGCTAGGGCTTTGTGTAAAATGAAAGATCAAGGCCCATGGCCTTTACTTGGTCCAAAATCACTTACATGAGGCTAGACCCCATTTTTTTAACACTCAATTCAAGAGGAGAGTTCGAGTTCATATTTTAAAGATTAAAGATCAGTTTGTATGAAGCGTGAAGACACACAAGAGAAGATGATTGTGAGACTTTCATTGTAAGTTGAGCTAAGCATGTTTAGCATAGAGACATATGATTGATGAAATTTGAGTCAAGGTGGAGATTGTTAGGAATAATGACTCAAATCCCATAGGAGATTTGTTTGGGATTTGTTAGAGATTTATTAGATATTGCTTGATGGACAAAAAGACTTACAGAAAAAGAATTCTAAAAAGAAAGGGATTCTTAATAGGCAAGTTTGACTTGCAGAAGAAGAATTCTAAAAAGAGAGGGATTTTTAATAGGCAAGTTTGTATGGTTATAAATAGGTGAAGTCTTTGCAGGGTTAGGTATGAGAAAAGGATGTAAGAGAGTTGTAGGGTTTTGTGGAATAGACATCCCATAGAAATACTGGAGATTTATGTCTTATGGGTGTGTATGTTTGAATGTTTGAATATTTGTGAGTGGACTAGAGGAGACTGAGAGGGTCCACATAGATATGATGAATGGGTACATATGGGTATGTATTTGTTTGTGTTGAAAGGGTACACATGGGATGTGTTTGTTTGGATTGAGAATACTCTAGGACTAGAGGAGATTGAGAGTGTCTTATGAGTATTGATTGTTGAGAGGTTGCTGATTTGATTTGTATGTTTGTAATTCTCTACAACTAGTGGATCTTATTTTTCATCCATGAACGTAGGTCGATTAGACCGAACCACGTTAAATTACTGTCTCTTGTATGATTGATTGATTGTTTGATTATGCTTCTGCTGATGTGATTGGATTGAGACTCTTTAACCCAACAAGTGATATCAAAGCTGTGATGATCTCCAACAAAATTCTAGTCATGATCAATCCCTTTCAATAAAGACCATGTAAGTTAAGCTGATATATCATCTGTAGACCGAAAACAACCATTTAAATTGATAACGAAATATCATGAAGGAATTAAAAGAAAAAGATGACTAAACAAAAAGACAAATGTTAGATGAGTGTTTGGCCAAGCTTATGGAATGACTTATCTATTGCAAAAGCAGAAGTCAAGTGTTTGGTTCTCAGAATTTTAATAATTTTAGTTTGTGTGAGAAAGAAATTTGAACTTTTAAATGAAGATATAAATCAAAATTTTTTTAAGGAGTTCTAATTTTAATAACAGGTCTTCACGAGAAATTTTGCATTCTCACTTTTTTCTTTAATAGTCATAAAATTATAAGAAAATTATATTATTTTACATTTTTTTTTATTTTATCTATTTTCTATTGAACTCATTTGTTTTTTGTATTATAATTAACCGAAATATCTTTTTATTTTTTCACTTAAAAACATATAATTTAATTTAACAAAAATTGATTATTTAATTTTTATTTATTAAAAATATACAAAAATACTATAAAATAAATTTTTTGAACATTTTATAATATTTTGTATTAAATTTGTCGATCGCTGTTTCATTTCTTTTTACAACACTTTTAGAATACCTTCATTTTAGTAACACTTTTTATAAAAGCTTCTGCTGGACCAAACAAGCATAGATGCAAGATTGACATGGATTTGAATTTTCAAGCTTTGGTATATATTTAATAATTAAATAGATATATATTTAACATATATTATTATTTAATATATGAAGAGCATTAAATAAATGCAGTTACTTAAATAATAAATTATCATTTTAATCTTAAGTTTAATTTTTGAATTAAATTAAAGTTAATTAATTAAGTACATATATATAGTTATGTGAGGATAGTTAATGTTTTTTTAACTTGATCTTGAAAATTGAGAGTAATTATGTTATCTATCCAGACAATTTTATTTATTTATGTCACATAATTGAATGTGCCGTACAAAAATTTTATGGCTCAATCCAATGAAAATAGTGAAGTAAACTCAAAATAGTGATTTATTGAGTCACAAGCAAACAGGTTCTGACAAAGTTCTTTTAGGGAGGTAAAGAACTCAAGATGTGTTTAATACAAAAAATTATGATAAGATAATATTATGAATATGATTAGATTAAATAATAGCATTTTATCTTATATTTGATGTGTGCAATGATTAAGATAAGATAATTTATTTATTAATCAAAATTATCCTTTTCGCAAAGTTTGTATAATTTAAATTATTAATGTAATTTTTAAGGATATAATATGATATAAAAATTAAGCTCATTAATTAAAAATAATCTTTCCACTTTAGGAGAATTAAATTACCTTATATCAAAAGGATATTAATTCTCCTTGTAATTTTATCCTTTTCTTTAGATACAAATCAAACATAATATAAAATGATTATCATCCTATTCTATCTATCATCCTATGCACCAAACATAATCTTATGAGACAAAGATGACTATGGAATTAGCTTCTTTGATTTCTTCAATTACCCAATTCCTGTTAGAAAAGTTGGATTAATCACATTAGAATTCAAATGGATCAAAGGTAAAGAAAAAAGAAACAGAATTGATAGTATTTGGAGAAATGAATGAGCAAGAAAGGGATAAAGAAGGATTAGCCAAGAAACTACCAAAAGAAAAAGAAAAAGAAAAAGCATAATCTAAGTAATTAAGCTCTTAGTTATTTTCAAGTTGAAGATCAAACCACCATTGCCAACTAACAAATTCATAATTTCCAAGAAAAATAATAATGACAACTTTGGAGGGATGCCGTGTTTAAAGTCGAGACTTAATTTAATTAGTTTGTATAGTTTTCTTTTTTTTTTTAATTGTGATGTTAATAGGTTAGAAATTTAAATTATAACTTCTACATTTTTTTTTCTATTTCAAACTATGATCTTCTTTAAAAAAAAAACAATCTAGCATTAAAAAATTGCAAATATTGAAATTTAAACTCTAAGGTGTGCTTTGTGTATAAAATTATAATAGAATATAATAATATGATAGTATAAAAAGATTAGATTCAACAATGTCATCTTATCGTGTGTTTGATATGTGAAATGATTAAAATAAGATAATTTTATTTATGGATTAAAATTAGTATTCCTCAAAGTTTATATAATTTAAGTTATTGTGTAATTTTTAAAAATATAATAATACATGTAAGTTCAATCTCATAAATTATAAATAACCCTCTCTACCTTGAGAGGATTGAATCATCTCATATTAAGAAAATGATTAATCCTCCTTATAATATTATCCATTTCTTTAAATACAAACTAAACATAATATAGTATCATTATTATCTTATCCTATCAATCATCCTATACATCACATATAGTCTAAATTTATTGAATATTGTCTCTTAAAATTTATTACATGAACCAACTTTAATTTTAAAAGTAAAAGAAAAGAATAAGCTCTCATATTTAAATTACATTTACTTTATGTTTAATGATCGCACAAGATAGGTATTTTTACTTTATGTTTACTAATCGCACAAGATAAGTATAAATTAAGAAAGAATCAAATATATTTTCAAGAAAATAATAAAAAGACGGTTTGTACGGATATGTTATATACAAGCCATTGCTTGTTCATCTAAATGGTTTTGCACAGATATAAACTTAAAGAGATTAATAAAATAAAATTCATTTCTTCTTCTTCCCCTTTCATTTTTTTTTTTATTTATTTTCAACTTCAAATTGATCTATCCACGTGTTTCTATATAAGTTACATGATTATGAAATTATTCCTTTCTTTTTAGTTCGAGATTTAATTTCGTTAATTCATACAGTTATTTTTAAGTCTTAGTTCAATTGGTATTTAATATGTTTAAAATTTAAATGTCAATACATATAATCTAATTTGCTATTCTTAAGTTACAACCTTTTTTTTATTAAAAGAATTAAGTGTTTTTTTTTTTTATTGGGGTTCCAATTGATTGGTGATATACAACATGAAATAGATGTTCCTACATTCTTGGCTTTAATTAGAAATATTCTTTTTAACAAGAAAAATTTTGAAATTGGGAACATTTTGTAATTCAGTGTGCTCAAGTCATACATTTCACATTACAATTGAATTATTCAATAATTTTCACCATTGTTCACAGTGGGAAATCGTGGTAACATAGAAAATATGATGAAATGAATTTGAATATAAATCTCCCACTTAAAATTAGACAATTTGAGAACAAAAGAGAGAATGAATAGGGTGAAACAGTTCTTCCATAATAAACAATTATTTATCATTTTTTTATTGGATACAATTTGATTTTTGAAGTATATATATGTGGAGTTGCTGTTCCCAGAAAAGCATTCACTACTATCTTACCCACAAACTTACATAGAAAGAAAAGAGAGACATGGAACTTCAACATTTTAGCCATAATCATCCTCTGGTTTTCAATGAAGAGCGAAACCTTGAAAGTGATCAGAAAGTTTATTGCTCTGGGTGTGAGGAGGAGATTTCGGGTCCAATGTTTAGCTGTGTGACATGCGGGTTTCATCTTGACAAGAACTGCGCCATGGCACCTTCCGAGATAAATCACCACTTTCATCGCAACCACAGCCTTCATCTTTTATCAAGCTTGCCATATGGTGCAGGTACGTGTGTTTGCAATTTCTGTGACAAAGATTGCAAGAAGTTTGTTTATCATTGTTCTTGTGATTTAGACCTTCACATCGGATGTGCTTTGTTTTTGTATGACATTGCTGAAAGAAAAATTGGAGATCAGCTTCAATGGATTGAAAACAAAGACCCATCCATCTCCACTGAGAATCATACTGAAAAGCTCATAAAAGCTAAGTGCTTTGCTTGTTGGAAGCCTTTATTAGATTCTGCATACCTTTCTCTTGATTCTGGATTTTGCCTACATAAAAAATGTGCTGAGCTACCTCTTGAAACCAATTATCCTCGCCACCGCCAACATTCTCTTTTTTTACAATTTAATAGTCATCTTGTCCCTTGCAAAACATGCAAAGTAATCCAATCCGGGGGATTGGTTTATTGCTGTTCAATTTGCAATTTTGTCCTTCACATTGAATGTGTCTCACAACCACCTATCATTGAAGATACAAGTAGTCATGAACACCCATTCACCAGGTTGTTGTTAAGACAATCCTCATTCACTTGTGATGCATGCGGCGCTTCAGGAAATTATGTTTCTTATATTTGCTTAACATGCAGCCTAATAGTCCATAAGAAGTGCACTTCATTGCCACGCATCATCAAAAGCATATGGCATCACCATCCTGTTTTCCACAAATACTCCGTTGTAGACAATGAATGTGGAGCACTGGCATGTGTGATTTGTCATGAGATCAATAAAGAGTGTGGCAGTTACTATTGTTCTGACTGCAAGTTTATTCTCCATGTGAATTGTGCATTACAAGATCCTTGGTGGTATTACAAAATTGAGTCAAGAGATGCTTTCGAGAAGCTTAATCAAAATGGAGCTGATAATGTGGATCCCAGCTTTTCTGTTATTAAAGAGATCAGACATGGAGAAAATGTGATGAATACAGAGATGAAACATTTCAGCCACGAGCACAATTTAATACTGCATGATGAAGTAAAGGATCATAAGTGTTGTGACGGTTGCAGTCAACTGATCGAGACTTCTTTTTATGGTTGTTTACAATGTGATTTCTTTCTCCACAACTCATGTGCTGAGTTACCTAGGAAGAAGCAAATTTGGATTCAAGTACACCAACATTCCTTTAACCTTATTGCAGATTGTGTTTACATGTGTGGATTTTGTAATTTCGTGTGCAGTGGTTTCTCCTACAAATGCAAAATTTGCGACGATCGTATCTGCGTTCGATGTGCTGGACTTTCTCCGGCCTGCACAAGTCAAGGACACAATCACCCTCTTCTTTTTTACCTCAAGTATAGTGGGCAGTACTGTAATGCTTGTGGTGATAGTATTGATAACAATGTAACATACAGATGCAAGGATTGCGATTTTAATGTGCATTACAGATGTATTCTCCTTCCACAAACAGCTTGTCACAAATGTGATGAACATATTCTCACTCTCACATGCAATGAAGATAATGATTATTCAGAATATCATTACTGTGATATTTGTGAAGAAGAAAGAAGCCCCAACAATTGGTTTTATTATTGTGCAGTTTGTGACAATAAAGCTCATCCCAAATGTGTTCTTGGAGATCACCCATATGTCAAGCGTGGGACCAACGTCTTCATAGAAAGTGAGCATCCACACTCTCTCGTGTTCGTGCAAAAGGTTTATCCTTATCCTGAATGCTGTAAATGTGGTCAGCCCTGCTTAGATCTGGCTCTTGAGTGTGGAGAAACAAGATGCACCTATATTGTCCATTTCACATGTGTAGAACAATATTCATACTTTGGTCGAAAGGCAAACCAAATACGGTTCTAGTGATCAGACACAGAGGTTGCTGATGATCACAACCAAAATGAGACGGTTCATACTTCTTCATCGAAAATATCTTCTTTCCTTGTTTTATCCTTTGAAAATTTCCAAAACTTTTTAATAAATTCACTGTGTAAGGCTTCCATGTGATCCTAATCGTGTGATTTGTAAGATTTTTTCATTGCATTTGTATAAACATTGTCTTGCTATTGATGGATTTGCTATCATCACTTGAAATTTGATTAGAAGATTATATTTTTCTGAATATGCTATCTAGCTAGGCTATATTGTGCACATAAAGTTGTCTAATTTGAAGGTAAAATCGTATGAATAAATCAGTTCCATTCTTGTAACTGGAGATGTCTGATCTAACTATAATAAGCTATTCCTTTTGGATTATTTGCTCAAGAATAAAATTCTTTCAAGTTCAAACTGATTTGATTTTTTTTTATTAGAAGCTATTAGAGATTAAACTTTAATTATGGGAACTAAAAGTCTAATATTCTATTAAACAGAGAATATAATATGAGAAATTATTTCATATTCAGTGATAGTGGAATTTTAGATTTTATAAGCAAAATTAGCAAGATGACATATACCTCTTATGATATAATATAAATATTAAAAAAAATTAATATGTTGTAGTCTTTTAATTTCGCTTATTAAATGAAAATTTTTACTATTAGCATATAAAAACAAATAAATTGATGAAACCAAATCCTAAATCCTAAGAAAAAAAATGATAGTTTGAGCATCTTAACTTTACCCCCAAAAAGTAAAAGAAAAAAATTGCTCCCATATTCGTTACTTTCTCTTTAATGATCACAAGACGGGTACTTACAAGAAAAAGTCATATCCTTTGGTAGTGCAAGGATGATTCCTATGGATAGGATACATAACAAGCTATTGATTGTAGATCTGAAGAGATTAACAAAGTAAAATCCTTTTCTTCTTCTTCTTCTTCTTCTTCTTCTTCTTATTTTTAATTATTTTTAATTTTTCCCTTTTTCCATTTATCTATTTTTAACTTCAAGCTGATCTATCACTCTTTCTTCATATAAGGAACATATAATTGTGAGATTAGTCATGTTTTTATACACTAAAATGTAAACTATTTGGAATTTCAATTAAGGCCAAATAGTAATGTTTATTTTAATTGAGATACCATGGAAAATTGTTGTGGGTGGCTATAAAAAGTCTAGCCAACCTTTTGGAACTTAAAAGGTGGCTGGCTAATAGAAAATGGAGTTTTAGCGATCATAATTTACAACGAATAAAAATATTATTGTAAAATACTATTATATTAGCAAAAAATTTTCAAAGTTGCTGATTAATTAAAGGTTTTTAGTCTTCATACAATGACAAGTTTTGTCTTTATGAGTTCTAATCACATTTCTAACAACTAACTTTCATTGCGAAGTTTCTAACAAGGGATTATAGATGTAATTTCCTAAGTTTCATACTATTTTTTTGATTTATTTAATTTTGTTATGGAAATTAACTTGTAAAAATGAAAAGGAATTTGTAAATCTCATTCCAAGGTAGCTAGATCCTTGCAATTCGGTGCATTTTTTTTTTAACAAGAATGCTTATCTACTATAGTTGGAAATTCAATAGCCACTAAAATACCATTTCTCAATTCAAGTGAATATCTTTTGTTATGTGCTTATTTTAAATATTTTAAAAAAAAAGTTGTATCCATTAGATGAGAATTTGCTAAAGAACCAAACATATATATAGGGAGACATGTTCTTTTTAAGAAAAAATCATATTGTCTCTGTAATTTATCCGTGACCTTGAAATTGATACTAGTTGTTATCAGTAAGAGAGGAATAAAAAAACCACGCCATGTCATGGATTTATGTTGTCTTTATAATAATGTTATCTGTTGGGTTATGGTTATTACTATGACATTCCATGACTTATGAAATTCAAAAGGAGTCGTAACTGAAGCATTTTAACATTATTCCTTGACATGAACAAGTTTGGCTTTGTTATTTTCTTGTGAAAATGAAATTTCATGTTCACTTCCTACAGACAGAAGCTGCAGCGAACAAGCCCTGGCTCTTGACAGAGCTGAAATGTGAGTTCAATTGTCCATATCTCTCTTTATTTCCCGTTGTTAAATCATGCTTATAAAACTTCTAGTGTGTTCCTTAGGGGAGGAATGCAGCTAACAATTCAGCCCTACGAAGCCATTCAAGTCAATAAAGCAACTGGTTTTGCCCAAAGATGGAAGGTTTAAGGAAAAAAGAGTTATCTATCATCATAACATATATATTCGTGGACGAACCATAAAGCATGGATTAGAGGAGTCACCATCAATCTTTTTTGTTTAGGTGTGATTGGCTACCTAATCGAATTTGTTCCATTTAAAGAGGAATTCCAAGATTGACTTAGGTATCTTTAAATAGTAGATTCTGATCCATGAAACCAGATTTTAGGTTTGGGAGTATAGTTACGTGTGAGGAAGGTTGTATCACCCTCACAACGCCCATCAAAAGATGGTACTAGTTTGATTTCAAATTATCCAAGCTTTAAAAATGTTTATGCTTTACCAAAATATTTAATATTGAGGATTAATCTTAAAATGATCCCAATACTTAGGTAGCAATTTAAGATAATTCTCTCACCTTAAGAGTATTCATAGAGACTAGTGTTCCACTTTGAAGAGGCTTCCGTTGTTGAATTTATTATAGCATTTTATTTAGGAAAATCAATTAAGTCTCCCAATAGTTTAGTAGGACTTACTTTGAGGCAGATCTCCCCATAGTTTGGTGAGATTTTATTTGAAAATGTTTATAAAAATTTTATTCTTATGAGAAAATTCATTAAATCTCCTAATAGTTTGATAAGATTAATTTAGAAGCAATTCTCCAATAGTTTGGAGGATAAAAATTATTTTTTATCTTTTGAAATTTATTTATCTAATTTCCTTATAGGTTGGTGGATTCCATAAAATTTAAATTCATGAAAATCCCCCAAATAATTTAGCAGGATTCACGAATTTATTTGAAAAGATTTTTTTTTAATTTTTTAATAAAATAAAATTTTATAAAATATTTAACAAATAATAAATTGCTTAGTAAAAATAAATAAATAATACAAATCAGTAAAATAAAAAAATTCAAAATATAAAATAAATAAAAATAAAAATAAAATGAAAAAGAAAAACTTTCGATCTGGTCGGGTTAGACTACGGGTGGCGCATGGATCTTACTTGGGTCACGTGCGAATCTGGGTTCTAAAAAACAATGCTGTTTTGGAATCCATAAAAGCCAACTCTTTCTATTTTTTTCTCAGATGCTCCTGCTCTCTCTCTTTTTAGCCCAAAAATCCTCTGACTTATCTCTAGAAAAACCTAGAAATTCAACTGGAAACTAGAAATCTTCATCGATTTCTAAAAAAGTCATCGAAATCCTGAAAAATCCAAACTTGATGAAAAAATTTAACCAAAAAATTCAAAGTTTATCCTAAAACCCAGTTTTTCCAAAAAAATCCTAAAAACCACAAAATTTTTTCAGATCCTTTCAAAAACCCTCAAGAACCTCAATCTTAACCCTAGGAACCCAAATCTAAACCCAGAATCCCTAGAATTTTCGAAACCTAAACTCACAATCCCAGCCACCCAAAATTTCAAAAAATTAAACACTGGGTCTTTTTCACCAAATCCACCCTGTGTGTTTTCTCGTCTTTTGTTCAATTTATAAGCAGTCCTCAATCAACTGAGAGATCGGGCAAAACCAATCCAAGCTTGAATCTTAGGATTAGATTTTGCCCAAACCTAATTTTAAGCCTAATTCTTTGCTGATTTGTTTGGACTGAATAAAAATCCCTTGATTTGGTTCTGATTGACCCTTTGACCGAGTAGATTGAATTCAATTCTAGATTTCAATTTTTTGATCGCCGATTAAGGAGGAAGGAAAGAAAATAAATAATAATAATAATAATAATAATAATAATAATAATAATAATAGTGATAATATAATAAATATTTTGTAATATACTAATATAGCATATTGTAATACACACTATACTAATAATAAATATAATAATGATAATAATATAATAACAATATATTATACTATAGTACTAATAATAGTAACGAAACTCGATCTTGATTGGCCCTATACACATATGGGTGTCTACAGCTGGCCCTCTTTGCACATCTCTATGAGACAGGGATGATGCAAAGACATAAACATTTACTGTATTTCAATGGTCAAGTTAATAAGCAGAACTGACTAGGACTGAGCTGTAAGTCAGGAAAATAATTTGGACTGAGATGAGATTAAATAGGTGATCGGGATTGAATCACAAATTAGAAAAATAAAATGATTTGGATTGAGTTGAGATCAAAACAAGAGATTGGGACTGAACCACAAGTCAAAAAATTGATCTGGACTGAGTTAAGATTAAGCTATCAGGATTGAGCCAAAGTCAGGAAAATAATCTGGATTGAGACAAGATCGGATGATTGGGACTAAGACACAAGTCAAGAAATAATGATCTAGACTGAGTTAAGATTCGATGATTGGGACAAAACCACATGTTAAGAAAAATGATCTGGATTGAACCAAAATTTAATGATCACGATGGAACCATAAGTTAGAAAAGGGATCTAGACTAAGTCAAGATCAGATGATCGAGACAGAATCACAAGTCAAGAAAAATGATCTGGACTAAGCCAAGATCGAATGATTGGGATGGAACCATAAGTCAAAAAAATAATCTAGACTGAGTCAAGATTTGGTGACCGAGATGGAATCATAAGTCAGAAAATGATATGAATTAAGCCAAGATCGAAAATGAGTGATAAATGCTGATGTAACAATGCAAATACATGTCCTATCTAGGATGCAAATGTGAACACAATGTATGTAATGTAGAAGTTACTAAATCAATGCCATGAAATTTCACTTGTTGTAACAAGGTTCTAAAAACTCCATCGTCTCATGTATTCCTTTTCAGCTTTTCAGCATCTCAGAACAAATTCTGTTAGCTGA